CAGGGAGTCAGAGTGGTTGGCCCCGTGGATGTTGATGTGGCTCACTTTGATGGTGGCAGGACTTGGGGCACAGAGGAGGGCTTTGAGCCAGAGGTGAAGTCTCTGACGAATGTGAAGGAGTGGCCAGGAAGGAGTTCGGGAGATGACAGTGATGAGAAAGGGTTCAGGATGGTCTACCCAGCCCTCAGAGAAGGCTTTTCCCCAGGAGGGTGGAGGAGTAATGGTTTGGAGGGGTCAGCATCCCCCAGCGCTCCCCTCTCCTGCAATTTGAAGTCCAAGGACAGGAGTTCATAACCTCTCTGATCGCAGACTTCTGCTCCTGAGGCTGCCCCGGCAGTTTTGTTGGAAGCTGCAAGTTTAAAACTATCTTTGTCAGGTGTATCTGCCCCAGTCTCCCTCTGGATCCTCTGGATCCCGAGGTCCCTCAGATCTCCTTTCTCCCTCTCCAGCCCCACACCTCTTGGGACTGAGTATGGGGCTGGGCAGCCAGGAGGTCGTATTGGGAACCTGGGCGGGGAACCCCTGCAGGAGAATGGACAGCTTTCACCAGGAGGAACAGAGGAAGGAGTGTCCTTGGGGGAGAGGAAGCTTTCATTTACCCAGGAGGTGGAGGGAGACCTCAGAAAGGAGATTTGAAGATGGGGGTAGTTCCAGAGGGCGCAGTGGAGATGGAGCATGGAAGGGAGGGCTGGCGATTGGAGAAGCTTAGAGCCATTGAGGGTTCTGGAGAGACGAGAGGGCAGACTGTGTCTTCCAAAAATGGCCACAGCAGTATTTCCACTTCCACGTCTTCTTCCAGCAAGAGGTGGAGTCTATTTCGTCTCCCCTAGAACTCAGGCGGGCTTTTGAGTGTTCTAACCCTTACAGTACAGTGGAAGGAGACGCTGTGTGACTTCCGAGACCTCCACCTTTGTCTCTTACTCTGAGGACATTTGCCCTCGGACCCAGACAACATGCTGTGAGGAACCGCGGGCCATACAGAGAAGCCATGTGTAGACATTCAGGCTGAAAACTGCAGCTGAGGTCTTTGCCAATAGCCACCATCAACCACCAGACTTGAGCAAATGAGCTTCTAGATGATTCCAGCCCCTGGCCATCGAGTCTTCCAGCCAAGGCCTCAGCCACTGACCATCCTGACTGTGTCTCTGTCAAGTAGAGATAAGAATCTGTGACCATATTTAATGCCACTAAGTTTGAGTGTAATTTGTTACACAGCCCTGTGAACTGATGCTCTCGGTGACAGGAAGGAATTATATTTTGTGTAGCTGAGAATGGCTAAATGTGAGGCCTGGTGGAATGAAGCAGCCCCAGCCTTCCAGGAGGAACACAGGATGAAGCTGCTGACTAGCCCCTGGGCAGGAAGAGGGGAGGGGAGGGGAGGCTGCTATCCCCACAGCCCCGGCACCCGGGTGTGTACGCAGACAAGATCCTGGCTGTGTTTGGGGGTGGACAAAGAGCCTGATCTTTTAATCAGCTGCTAGGAGAAAGCTGGACTGGAAGTTCATAGTGAGAAGTCACAGATCTTCAGCAAATGCATCCTGAGGATCTCAGCATCGGCCCCATTCAGGCGCCATTAAGATCTGGGGAGCAAATTAGCCACGTCCAGCAGTAGGACGCTGGTTAGATAAACGGTGATATCTCTGTTTTATGCAGGCATGAAAGATTATGTTTTTGAGGAATATTTAAAGCCATGGGAAGATTCTCCTGATGAGAAACAGAGAACAGAGCAGGGGATGAAGCCACACCCCTGCATACGTTTGGGTGCACTGAAATGTTAACTATGCTTCTGTCTTGGGTAGTGGAATTTTGCCTGATATTGTTTTCTTCTTTAACTTTTCTGTATTTTTCAGATTTTTTTTTTTTAAGATTTTATTTTTTCCTTTTTCTCTCCAAAGCCCCTCCAGTACATAGTTGTATATTCTTTGTTGTGGGTCCTTCTAATTGTGGTATGTGGGACGCTGCCTCAGCGTGGTCTGATGAGCAGTGCCATGTCCGCGCCCAGGATTCGAACCAATGAAACACTGGACCGCCTGCAGCGGAGCGCACGAACTCAACCACTCGGCCACGGGGCCAGCCCCTTTTCAGATTTTTTTTTAGGTAAAATATATTACTCTAGAATTAGGAAAACAAAGTACTGGTTTTTTTTTTTTTTTTTAAGCACCTGGCTATTGCAACTTAATCTGTAGATTCGGGAGATCCCACAGAGGTTAATGTATCTCCCAGAATACTCATCAGGGGCCAGAGGTCAGGACATAGGTCTCTGCAAGCCCCTCTCCTGCCGTTGTAAGCATAAGGAGGTGGGTTTGTTACCCTCTGTGAGCACAGACTTCTGTTCCTGAGGTTGCACCGGCTGTTTTGTTGGAAGCTGCAAATTTTAAACCATCTGTACCAGGTGTATCTGCCCCGATCCCCCTCTGGATTCTAAGGTCCCTGAGCAGCCCTCCCATCCCCCGCCTGCCCCTCATCTCTAGGGCTGGGCAGCCAGGGGTACTATATTAGGAACCAGTGCAGGGAGCTGAGGTCACGTGGCTGGGTCTGAGCTCCCTGCTGGGAGGCCTCCCCCACTCCCCATGCCCATCTGCTTCCCCTCACCCCAGGCCTCTCTTCTTTGCTCATTCCACACTAGGGACCCAGAACAAGACCCTACCCAAGAAGCTCGGCTCCCAGGGCGCCCGACAGTGGTCAGGACTAGGCTCTTGAACCTGCATGGAACTGGAAACGCCCCAGTAGGGTTTGGGGGCCTCCAGAGCCTGCAAAGAAAGCAGCAGCTATGTGGCAGCCTTGACCACCACCACCCCTCAGCCCAGGGCCACTGAGGGTAGGAACGAATGGGCCTCAGCCAGAGCAGCAGCTGAGGCAGGAGCCCTCTCCCGGGGTTGGGGACACCGCCTGGCACCTGGATCGGCTGAACAGGTTTCTCCCAAATCTCAGTGCAGTGTGCATGGATACCATGAGACTCTCTACTTGCAAGATCACCCACTCTCTCTCTTCTCCATTGGCCCACTGGATGTCAATGCCAGGGGCAGCTTAGAAGCTTGTGTTGAGGATGACAGAGCCCCCATAGCATGGGCCTCTGAATCTCTGAATGACTGTGTGGAGCAGAGTGCCCCCCCCAACGCCCCAGCTGATTGCATTTCCCATGAATGAGAAATAAACTCTGCTGTGTTAAGCCAGTCTGTGTTTGGGGCTGTTGGTCATGCTGTTAGCTACTCTAAGCAACACAAGTGAAGCACAGAATGGGGACTACTGGCCTGTCCATCTTCCAGCCCATCTGTGAAAAGGCACCTTGACAGCACCAACCAGAAGTTTCAAACCAGCCAGGGGTGCTGGGGAGGTGGACAGTGACCCAGATAAACGCCAGAGCAAATGGCCTTGACCAGCACAGAATCCACCCTCCCTTATTCTGTTCCGGGAGGGTCCACAGTGTCCCCCAGACTCAGGGACACTGTTTACCCTAAGTGCCCACCAAGACTTGAGGGGAACTCTACCCCTCCCCCCACATCAAGAAGAAAACATTTTAAAAATGTTTTTATTTAATTAAAAAAACACAGAACTAACAACCCGAAACCAGTAGTAGGTACAGGATTCACAGGTGCTTAACTGGCAAAACACACAAGGGCTGGTTGGAGAGGGTGGTGGGTTGGGAGGATGGTGAGGAGGTGGGTGCAGGCCACCACATCTCCCCGCGGTGGGCACAAGGTCTCAGACCGACAGCCGGCAGGGAGGCAGCTCTGCCCCCTCCCCTGGGCAAGTCCCGGCTGGGATGTGGCGAGAAGGAGGGGGTGAAGCAGAGACGAGGTCCTGGAGCCTAGCGTGGCGGTGGGGAGAAAGGCTGTGAAGACCAGGCGGTCTGAGGTTGTTCTGCTCCCTGCTCTTCGGCCCCTCTTTGTCACTTCTTTCTACTCTTTCTTGGTCCCTAGAGTGGGCCCCGTGTTCTCTGCCTGGGACTGGGCAAGAGGTAGGATTCATTGGAACACAGCTTTCTCCATGAAATGATAGAAACTTCTGGGGCGGCAGGTGGGAAAGTGGCTTATAAGGAAGAAACAGCAAGGCTGCCTTGCTTTTGGAAGTGACACAAGAAGTCTCGGGGCCTTGCTGGCTGATAGGTCCCCAGATTTCTCCCCCTTCCTTCTAGCCTGGTGGGATGCTATCATGGTGTGGAGGGGGTGAGAGGGGTGGGGGGTGGGGCAGGAGGGGGTGAGAGGGGTAGGGGGCCCACCGCAGGGGCAGGCCACGAGCCCTGACACTCCAGCACTCACCGCTGTACATGCTTGGACAAACCACCGCACGAAGCGAACCTGGACGGGAGGAAAGGGTTTCGAGCAAGCACGAAGGGCCTGGCCCTGGGCGCCTCAGCTCGCCGGCACACGGGGCAGCCGGCTGGAGGCGGGACATGTGGAGATGTCCTTGCTGGGGGTGAAGGAGGATGGAGATGACCGTGAGCCGGAAATGAACTCCCAGGGGCCAAGGCCACCCAGGGGCCCGTGAGCAGGTGGCTGAGGTAAGAATTTGCTTGTCACTTCTAAGTACGACAGCTACCGGGATCACAGACGACTGCTCAAGACTGGCTTACCAAGTCTCAAAAAGTAAGAAAGGATTTGTCTTTAGAAAGCGCGTGTTTTATATAAAAGAGGGTAAGTTCCACGTTCCAGAGAGTTTCTCTTCTGACCCCGGACACGCTTCCTGTTTGCCTGGGTGGTGGCGGGGCGGCGGGGGGGGGGGGGGAGCTGGAAAAACGTCAAACATGGAACCTGCCTCCTCGGTTCCAGAGTCCTCAGGTGTCCCTCTTGAGAGTGAGGAGGAAGACAAACACAGCTTTTCATCCAGACTCCTCCGCTAAGCCCTTTCAGGTGGTGGCAGAATGAATTCCAGTAATTGGAGTGGGGGGAGGCGTTGCTGCTACTTCGTAAGACGAGGAAATGAATGGAACTTGCTCTCCTGGCATTTATTTGCAGTAAATCATGGTGAGGAACCACCTAGGAAATGGATGTTTGTTCTGATTTTTTGGTCGCTGTTCACCCTCGGTCTCCCTTTCTTGTACAAAAGTTCAGGCTTCTGTAGCCAAACACCAGTGGGGTGGGGTGGGGTCTGTCCCCCCCGACCCCCCGAGGAGGGACGGGCTGCTCCTCAGGCCAGTGGGTAGGGACACAGCAAGAGGCCACATGGCCACCTTTCCTCTGACTCCTACTTCCGGACTCTCAAGTACAGTCAGTGCCCTTTCTGTGTGAGGCGGAAACTTCCAGAAGCAGATAGGAAAGCCAGCAACAGACTCCGGCCTTTACCTCATGCCCAGGCCAGCCAAGGCCTCCCCCAGTGTGGGTTCTTCCACCCGCCTCGGTCTCCTCAGGCTGAGGGAAGCCGGCCCCAGGACAGCACAAAGGCCAAGCACCAGCTGGCTGCAGGACTTTCTGCTCAGGATGACTGTTATTTCCACAACAGGCCACTGCCAGAGAGAGAGAGACAGACAGACAGACAGACAGAGAGGAAGGGGGTGAGCTTCAGCTTCCTCGTTTCTGGCTCACGGACACAGGAACCTCAGGTGAAAAAGCAGCTGACTAGTGTCCAAAGGCCCCTGTGTGCCTGGTGGCCCAGGCCCGGGATAGAGGGGAGGCCCTGAGAGCCCAGCCTTCTGGCAACATCTGTTTCCAAGAGGGGATAATGGCTCAATTTTGTTTCCCAGGTTGGTCGAGGCTGTGCAGCCTCAGGAGAGCTCTTGGGCTTCCTGGGGGACTTCAGAACCCCTGGGGCCCCAAAACACCCTTTGTGGGGACAAAGTCAGCCTTCCACTCCTGATTCCTGTCTCCTGGTGCTTCGCTCTAAGCCAGCCTGGGACACTTTCTCGAGACCAGGGAGGGTTGGGTTTGGCTTCAGTCCACTGTTGGCCCGCCTACAGGGTCAGAGGCCCTCCTGTGGGATGCAAACAGCCATCCTTGGGAGAGAGGGGCGCTCACACGGGGGTCGTCCGCCGGTTCAGCATGCTGACGTGCAGGCCTTCCTTCAGGTCCTGCTGGAAGAAGTCATGCACCTGCAGGAAGCTGGCCTCCTGGTCGGGGCTGTAGCTGGCGGCCGTGGTCACCTTGAGGGGCTCCCTGGACAGCGTGTACATGGACAGCTCGCCCATGGGGATGGCCCCGGTGATCTTCAGGCCCACCGGAGACGTGTCCCTGGAGGGCGAGGCCTCGGTGGACCTGGAGCTGGACCTTGAGCGCCGTCGCCGGTACCTGTAGCTCGGCATCCTAGCGTAGGGAGACGAGGAGGGAGCCTTAAGGAACTCCCGTTTGGTCTTAAATCTCAACTCTTTATTTTTCTCAATGTAAATGTTTACAGCCAGGACGCCCACGGTCTCGGCCACAATGAAAGACAGGGCTCCGAAGTAAAAAGACCAGCCGTAGTTGTAATGGTTTTTTTTGTCTTCGTCGCGCTTGTCGCTTGGGTCGCCGGTGTTGCTGGAAATGTAGACGATGATGCCTATGATGTTACTGAGGCCTGAGAGGGAAGCAGGAGGGGGCAAGAGGGAGAGAGGCAGAGGTTAGACCCAGAGTGGGACAGGGGACAGGCGGGCGGAGGAGGGGCTGGCGGCCACTCCCCCCTTTGAAGGGTATTGCTTTATTCTGGTTGCTAACTTTTCTTTTAGTAATTAACTTTGAACGGGTAATAAAGTACACAGTTCAGATGAGGTACACAAGAAGACACAGGCTCTGAGCTACGCAGTTCCCCTCCTGAAGGCGGCTACTAGGAATTTCTTTCTTCTGTCTTTCTTATGTCCAGTCTCGCTCGCTCGCTTTCTCTCACACACACACATGCACGCATACACATATATCTATTTTTTTTCTTTGCACAATACTCTGTCCCCTTGCCTTTTCACTTAATGGTCCATCTGAGAGACGGCTGTGTATCAGCAAAGGAGGAGCTGTCTCTGTCTTTCTAACTGCACGAGGCGCCCACTGCATGGACATCTAGCCAGGCCTCTGCTGTGCACACTGAGGTGGCTTCCAGTCCTCTGCTATGACAGATTTGCCACCGACATCCTTGAGTCCACAGCATTCCATGAGTACAACTGTGGGATGAATTCCTTGAAGTGAAACTGCTGTTTCACTGGGTACGTGCGTTGAAAAACTGAAAAATAAACTTTTATTTCAGAGAGCTCCTTCCTAACTCCCCCCACGCCCTGGTTTCTCCTATTAACATCTTACAATACGGAGTTCCTTTGTTACAACCGGGAAACCCACCTGGTCCATTTCCACTCACCCCCCTCTAGACTTTACTCAGATTTCACTGGGGTTTCCACTCATGTCCTTTTTCTGTTCCAGGATCCATCCAGGGCACCATGTTGCGTTTAGGGTTTTGAGTTCTGACTCACCGCCCAAGCGCCCTCCACAGGGGCACAAACTGTCTCAGCAGCCTATAATTCATATTATCAAACTTCTGGATCTTTGCCAACCTGGGAGGTGAAACACAGCCACCGGCGGCTGTGTGTATTTGATTTTCTCTTCTTACAGGTGAGGTTGAGCAGGGCCGAGCTGCCTGGGTTTGAATCCTGGTTTTACCCACTATCAGCTGTGGAACTTTGGGAAAATTACTCACCTCTCTGTGCCTCAGTATCTTCATGTGCAAAATGGGAGGTGCAGTGGCACGCATTTCACAGGGTAGATGTGAGGATTAAATGAGCTAATAGAGACCAAGCGCTTATAACAGTGCCCGGCACCCAGTGAGCGAGCTTTAACTTCTATGATAGTCTCCCATGTTGTATTGTGAGGCTACGCACTGCCCATGTCCTTTGTCCGTTTTTCTACTGCACCGATCGCAGTGTGGATGGGTTAGAACATTTCCTGCTAAGGGGACCAGAGATCCTGCCTGAGTTGTAGGTTTTGACTCCTTGCCCTCCTGCTGTGTTCCAGGAGAGGCTTCACTGACACGGCTTTTACTCTAACGGTTTACTTCCTTTGTACCCTTCTTTCTCGTCCCTTCTCTCCCTGCCTCCCTAGCTTTGTCTTTCCTTCCCCGCCCCGTATTCAGCACAAGTCATAAGAATGCTCCTTAGACCATGACCCACCTAATCACATTTTCCCAGAGAAGTTATTGTGTCTTCTTCTGACTCTCCCAGCCTTCAAACAGAACCTCTTCTGAGGCTCCGAGTATTTTCCACCTAGAATTCCGGTTTTTTTTAAAGATTTTATTTTATTTTTTATTTTTCCTTCTTCTTCCCAAATCCCCCCAGTACATAGTCATATATTTTAGTTGTGGATCCTTCTAGTTGTGCCCTGTGTGACGCCGCCTCAGCGTGGCCTGATGAGTGGTGCTAGGTCCACACCCAGGATCTGAACCAGCGAAACCCTGGGCTGCTGCAGCGGAGCCCTTGAACTTAACTGCTTGGCCATGGGGCCGGCCTCCCACCTAGAATTCTTTATGAGTGGGTCTTACCTCCCTGCTGGGGTTGGACTGGGCGGGGGCCTACACATGACCCTGGCCTGCAGCAGCCTCAGCCCACGATCAAAGCTCCATGAAGCGAGAAATAAACAGAAACAAGTGAACATCCCCTTGTTTGCCTGCCGTCATTGCTTCTTGTTGCCGCCGCATCCTCTCCTCTAAGGACGGACTCTTGTTTTTAGCTGAGTGGGCTCCACAGCCCCTCTGGTGACCTGGAGTGTCTGGATATGCTTTTGAAATGGTCCCTTGGGGGAACACGCAGCTGCAGGGGGCACCTTGCTGTGGAGGCTGATAGCCCTAGGTGCAGCCTGTGTCTTTGCCACCTGACTGCCTCCTCAGGGGCTGGGTGAGGCGGTGGTGCTCACAGAGTAGCTGGCACAGCGGCTGGCTGGTGTCAGCCTGAGTCTTCTTTCCCTTCCTCGGGATAGGGAAGGTGACAGTGTTTAAATGCCACAGCAGGGACTTCTTTAATGATTCACCCCTTGAGAAATCTGACTGCTTGAAGGAGGAGAGAGAATGGGGTGTGTCCCCGCCCTCTCACCTCTGCCTCTGTTCTGGGAGGAAAGAAGGGAAGGGACGGGGACTTCGCCAGGAACGAGGTTGGTGCTTCTTCAGAAGGAGACCCTAAACACAGGCCCCCTTCCCAGTGTACACACACACACACTGCACGTGTTCACACACACCACACTCCCCAGACACACGTGAACACTGCACACGTACATACACGCTACACTTCTCAGACACACACACACTCCTGACACAGCTGCATCCCCCTCAGATACACACGTATTTATTGCCCTGGAGGGAAACAAGGGCTGAAGTGATGAGAAGAAGCACAAGAACTGGACCCCGGAGCCCCGGCTCTGCTGACCTGGCTCTGAGATTTCAAACCAGTCCCCTAACTGCTTTGGCTGTCAGTGTCACGATGTAAACAGCGGTCGTCTTCCCTCTCCAGGAGAAACCACGAGAAGACGAGATGCGGATGAGGATGACCAGTGGGCACCCATGTGGGTCCGGCACCACGAGAGGCCCTTCCCCATCCTTGGCCAAGGAGGCACGGCCACCACCGTTAGTGGAATTCTCTTTATCACCATCACGGTACCACTGGACTGCTTTAGGATGCGAGACCACGCACAGAGAGGGGGCAGGGCCTGGTCGGAGCTCAGGCCACCCCCCCCACAGTGCTCCACCTCCCTAGTCTGGTACAAGAAAGAAGACACTTTGAAAGAAAAACCACCGTTAGGATGGTGCAAGGAGCTATGATAAGAATTTAGGAAGGAATTGCCAAGCTTCCTAACATTTCTTGCATTTATTTACTGGAAGGAGGCCTAAGAATCAGGCGGCTCTTGTTTCTCCTGACAGGGACCCCCGAACTCCATGGGTGCTGCCCGGAGCCTCAGGGTGCTACCAGCTGAGCTTTGCCAGGGTTGGCAACCTCTCCACCCTCCCCCAGCGACTCAGGCCAGAAAACCCGGGTTTTCCGCCAGACTGTGTAAATCATCTACCAGCCACTAACCCTCTGTGAGACCCACTTCCAGCCTGGATTTCTTCCACTTCTGCAGCGGCTAGACACGCACTGAACTGTCTCCATCGAGCCTCAGAGGGGCGATGGTGTGAAGCCATTTTGGACCCATTAGGCAGGGGGTACGTTACTGTCACCCAAGGCTCCGTGGGTTTTCACTGGGTCGCAGTGGGGGTAGCTCTGAGGTGCTGCTGTCCGCCTCTCGGCCGGGAGAGTCAGGCGGTCAGGATGGGCAGGCATCCCTAGCCCTTTGGCTCCCCCTGCCCCTGCACACTGGCCTTCTCTGCTTCCTCTGCATCCCTTCACCCTCTCTTTACCTCATCAAATCCTTCCGTGGGTCCCTCTGGGTACCTCCCGGACCCCTGACTCAGCCAGGCTCCCTCTTACAAGCGTGTAGGGCACCAGCACTGCCTCCTTGTGGCACTTTGCACGCCTGGACTTAATTACGTTTTTCAATTGAGGTGAAATTCACCTAACATAAAATTAACCCTTTGAAGTGGACAATTCAGTGGTATTTAGTGCTTTCACAAGGCTGTGCAACCACCACTCCATCTAGTTCCAACATTTTTGTCACCCCAAAAGGAGACCCCGTACCCGTTAAGCAGTTGCTCCCCACTCCCCACTGCCACACGCCTGGACTTTTGAAGTTAATCATGCATGGCAATTTTACGTTCTGCCCCCGCACCAGGACGCACGCTCTGGGCAGCGGGGACCAGGGTGGGCAGCTCACCTGCAGCCACAAAGAGGATGCCGGCACTGAGGATGATGTTGTTCTTGCGGCTGTAGAACCTCCCGGCGCCGATGCAGAGCCCGCCGAGCAGCAGCAGGATGGTGCTGAGGATGGGGAAGACGCTGGAGGCACGCACGATGCCTGGGTGGGGCAGGAGAGCAGCAGAGAGGGCGGTGAGGCCCCTGTCCTCCTGGGCATGCCGCGAGCCCCGAAGCTCCAGGCCCTTCCCCAGACTTTGAAGATTCCCATCAGGCCCCGGAGACCCATGGTCGTGGCCCAGGCCTACGGGGACTCCCCCCAGATGCCAAGCAGCCTTTAGCCATATCTGCGCAAGCCTTGCTTAGGGTCTCCCTGGGTGTGGGTCACACTTCTGCCAGCCAGAAGAGAAGAGGGCCCCTTGGTGGCACCAGGGAGGCCATAGTAACAGCCATGAAAACACTGAGCCGCCTCCCATTTGGATGACACCTCATGGCCCACTGAGCCCTTTCGTGGACACCTCCTCCATGAAGCCTCTGGAAGGCTGGGAAGTGGCGTCCGTGAGAGGCAGCTCTGAGGGGTGGTTGAGGACACAGGCTTTGGCATTGTGGGGGTCTGGTGCAGGCCCTGCTTTGACATGCTGGCTGTGTGGCCTTGGTCAAGTCACTTGACCTCTCTAAAACTGAGTTTCCCCATCGGTGGAGCACAGTTCCTAATAGTACCTACGTCCTACAGTTGGTTTTGTACATATAAGGGGCTTAGCACAGGGCCTGGCCACAGCACGCACTTCCAAAGTGACAGCCTTTATCTCCATCATCATCATCATTGTTATTGCCACCAGGTGACAGATGAGGACGTGGAGGCTCAGGACCTCCTGAGGTCACAGATGAGGTGGCTGGACAGAGTGGGACATGTGTGGACTGTGGCGTCCAACAGAGCTAGACTTGCCCTTTTGCTCTGCCCCTGACCAGCGGGGTGCCCAGGGCAGTTCACTTCCGGCCACCTCAGTCCCCTCTTTTACAACGTGGGGCGAGCAGGAGTACCTTCCCGCAGGTAAGGTGCCCCGAAAGCTACGTCAAGTCCTAACCGCCGGTGCCCAGGAACGGGACCTCATTGGGCAAAAACATCTTTGTGGATGCGACTAGGATAAGGATCTTGAGATGACACCATCTTAGATGAGGGTGGACCCTAAATCCCAGGACATTCCCCATAAGGGAAGAGCAAAATATGCAAGCAGGAGAGGACACACAGGGGAGAAGGCGCGTGAAGACGGGGGCAGAGACAGGAGGGAGGCAGCCCCAGGTTGAGGAGTGCTGGAGCCACCAGAAGCTGGGAGAGGCAAGGCCAGGTCCCCTGCTTGAGGCCATGGGGGGAGCACGGCCCTGCCAACCCCTCCCTGAAGACGCAAGGCCTCCACACCGTGAGCATAGACATCCGTGGTTTGCAGCCTCCCAGCTCGTGGTGCTTTGTGGCAGTCACCCTGGGAAAGAAGACCCCACCTGCGGGGCTGCTGTGAGAATCTGATGGGATAAGGCACAGAAACACTCAGCAGGGGCTTTGGGCATGTGCTCCCCGTTCCTTAGCATCGGGCTAGGAGGAAGGGCAGGAGGAAGGGGAGGGGCACGTGAGGAGGAGCCCTGAGCTCAGCCTTCCCAATGCGCCTGCAGGTCTCCCAGCCCAGCAGAAATCCCGGCTACGTGGACCCTTGGTGGCCCTGGCAGGGGACAGTGAGTGGGGAATGCTGGCAGGCGCCAACCTCCTGAGCCAGCTGAGCCCTTTTGCGGCCTTTCAGCCTCTGAAGGCGGTGTTTGTCTCCTTTTTTGTAAGCCCCCCAGTGTGTGCCCCTGCTTCACAGAGAGGGGTTTGTTTGGGGCATTAAATGAAGCTCTTCTCTCAGGCTCCCCCTCCTCCTCCCTGTGCCTTCTTGCAGCCGCAGGCTCTGGGAGGCGGTTTCCTGTGGGCTTCTGAAACGTGCCTCTGAGCTGTGCCGGCCACAAACGCCGGGATCAGGTCCCCTCGATGCCCCGGCTCTATGGACGGGTCAGAGGGGCCGGAGAGAAGGGAGCCCAGTGCCTCTAAGGTCACTGAGGCTGGGCCTGGCTCAGAGCCACCCATCCTGCCCAGATCAGTCACGTGAGCACCTGTCCTTTGCCACATGGGCTCATTCTGGAGCTCTGGATGTGTGGACAGCAGCCGGGGCTCACCCAGCAAACAAGCGCAGGGCTGAGCTCCATCAGTGGCGCAGGCTGGGGCTTGCACAGAGCTGAGGGACGAGTGGGGCTGACGTCCAGCCCCTGCCCTGTGGCCAAATCAAGCCGTGGTGAGCATCTGCCTCTGCCCAGAGGATGGGCACCTCTTTTTAACTCACCCTCAGGCACACCGTGGACTCCCAGCAGCCCGGACACCAGCACTCTGAGGCTTAGCACAGAAATCATGCACCTAACCAGAAATGCAGAATCTGGAAAAGAGGCGCCAGGCCCAGAGCAAGATGAGCGGAAACCCCTGGGGGCAGTGGGCAGGTGGAAGAGAAACGACAGGCAGGGTACGGAGTGGTGACCCCCTCCTGTGGATCTATGCATCTGGCGGGGATCTACACATATGGTGGGGTCCTCATTAGAGCCCAGAGGCCATCAGGAAACCCTGCGACAATGACATAACTCAACACAAGCCCGGTTTCTCTAGAAGGCTTCAGAATGCACAGCTGGAGGGTTGACTGCTCTTGAGTTGCTGCAGATGGGTGTGAGAAGCGCAGCTGGTGGCTGGCGCCCCATGCCTGGACAGCTGAGCTGCCACTCCAACAGGCTCTCCCACAGGCAGGCCTCCATGGAACCTTCTGTGACCTTCTCCACCAGAATGTCAGCAGCAGGAGGGCAGAGCTCTGCTTTGTTCGCTGCTGCATCCCACGTGCCTAATACAGCGCCCAGCGCATAGTAGGCCCACAGTAATTTTTTGTTAAATGAGTGAATAAACATGAATTCTCAGGAACCCTCGTCTCCTGCAGACATCAGGCCCCAGAGCTCGCTCTCCTGTGCTTCTACATATTCTCAGGATCAACCGTCTCAACAGAGACCAGAGGACCGAATACTGGGGAACACAGGCCAGATGGCCATGGTGAGTGCGACCTCGGCCTGTCCGTCTGGCTCCAAGCTCACAGGTACCCGCACTCTGGAGCTCAGTTTCAGGGCCAATTCTCCCTGCTTCTGCAGCCTCTCAGTGGAAAAACACCTCCTTGTTGGCGAGTTGGCTCTGCCCTGCACCCCAATTCCACCGGCACCTGTGGATCACAGGTCCCAAAGCCCTCACCCCTCTCTCCTTCAGATGTCTCTGGGCTTGTTCATGAACCTGGCTGGTCTCCCCACAGCCTACGCTGGAGCAGAACATTTCATTCCCAGACGAGCTTGAACTGCTGTTGCACTGTCTCCACCATTTTATTGGGGAAAATCGCTGCCGGGGCCCTTCCGGCCCTCACGCCCTCCCCTGGGCACTGCTGCTGGGGTTTCAGGACAGCAGGAGCGGAAGCTGGGTGGATGAGAGCACGGCACACTCTGGGTTCACCTCTCCGGACTCTCGCTCCATCTCTCTCCATCCTGCTCTGGGCCCCGGGAGGTCGCCACCATGGACCGATCGCCTGCTCCCTTGACTCGGCTTTGGGAGGAGAATTCAGGCTTCCTTCCTGCGGGCTGCAGATGAGAGGGCTGCATTCCTTTACAAGGGCCATAGCTCCTGCCAGGCTCCCCTGTCCATAGGGCTCCCCTCCTCCAGGTTCCCATACCTGCCTCCCTCACCTGTTCAGGCCTCAGCGTGTAAGGGCTCCTGCTGCAGCCAGCACGGTGTGCTCACCATCCTTGCCAGTTGCCCTTAACCTTGCCCACACCTTTGTAAAAAGTCCTTCACCACACGCCCTTCATTCGCCCTGTCTGAAGATACCATCTGCCTCCTGCTGGGACCTCAGGAAGCCACATGGTCTGACCTCTGGGCTGATGCACCATGAGGCCAATCCAGAAAGAGATCCCAGAACTCTGGGGACCATGGTGGGGACAAAGGCAGGGGAGTAAAGAGGAAGAGGCAGCATCAATGTCCATAACCTCAGGCAAGTTCAAGAGGAGAATGGTTTGTTTCTCCAGTGCCTCCTGCCTCAGTCCCAGGGTTAGTAAGTGTGGAAAATACGCCCCCAGAGCCTCAAGAACCGCCTGCTTGTCCTGCTTGGAACAGAGAAGGGCAGGTTCAGAGTCAGGGCTGATTTTCAGTTGAGCCATCCCCACTGGGCTATGTACCATGGGCCATCCTAGAAGGCTGTGCAGGACACGCACTGTACAACTTGAAAGGTGTCATTTATACCACAGTCTAGGCAAGTGGCATCACTTCCGTTGTGCAGTGTGCAACCTGCACAACCATTTGTGGTGGTCCTATGGGACATCATTTGCTTGGTTCAGTGCTGGTCCCCTGAAAGCAGAAAGAGACGGCAGGAGGAAGAGGAGAGAGGGGAAGGCTGGGAGGCAGATCTGGCCAAATTATGGCAGGGTCTGTGCCTGGCCAGAGCAGCCTGACACTGCCACATATTCCATGGGAACTACACGCTGTTCTATTTCACCAGATGACTCAGAACCCAAATCCTTTCTCTTAGAAAAAAATGATCCATAAGCAGGTGCAGAGTGAATTGTGCTCCCTCTGAGGACACTGGTATCGATTCTCCATAAATGAAGCCAGGCCTGAGCCCCTGGGGAAGCAGCTGTGAGCAGCTCTGCGTGTGCCTTGGCTAATGTGGAGGGGAAAGCGATTTTGAAACGGTGCTGTTGTCCCCATTCCCAGGCTTCTTCCCTGGCTGCTGCCGCATCCTTCCTCCCAGGGAGGTACTCACAGGCCCAGGGATGAGATCTGGATTTAGGGCATGGGGCTGGCTTTGTCCTCTGGGGCTGAGTGTGCACTGTGACTTCCGGGCTCCAGTCAGGGGGCCAGCCCAGCCACAGGACCCGGGCGGGGGCCGGGGCTCCAGGGGCCGCTCATGGGCAGAGATGGCGGCTCTACCAGTTGGTGCTGGAAATGCTGAAGGCCCACATATCAGAGGCTGCTTCTGCCACCCTCCTTGCCTTTTTCCACAGGCTGTCTGGCAGTGCACCAGGCTGTCTTAGTGCGCAGCTTAATCTCATTTTTCAAGAACAGAGCTGAGTGTGTATGGAGTTGGGTGGGCAGGTCCAGTGTGGGCAGGGCTTGGGGTGCACACCCCCCAAGGATGCTCACCCGCACAAGCCTGTGTCCTGAACCCCTTTGTCCCCGGCCCAGCGGCGGCAGTCAGCTCCCCCAAAGCTGGCCACGCCCAGCAGCCCTGGAGACTGGACGCCCACACCCACATCTGCTCTTCCCAGGCCTCAGTCTGCCCAGACTTGGGCCTAGCAGCCCAAGCTCCCCTGGGACACCCAGCATGACATGGCGGCGTTGAACAAACCTCCATCCTCTGAACTAACAATTGCTGAATCAGAAAGGGAGTGACAAGAGCAGCCACGAAAAGCAGCCCCCTCCACCCCCACAGGGCCCATCTTCCCTCCAGCTGCCTCCTCGCCCCCTGCCCCCCTCGGCATGCAAAGGAAGCCAAGGATTCTTGACACTCACGAAGGAGATACTCCGAGCTGTCATGGTCATAATCATTGTCCTCTGGGAAGTGATTGATCCGGAAGCAGTGCCCTTTATAGATCCCTGGAGGCAACGAGAGGAAAAGAATGCTGTAAATGTTCCACGGGCTCACGCGTCCATTCATTCCAGACTTGGTTACTGCGTGCGCCAGGCTCTGGGCACCCTGGCACTGCTCAGGTGTCGCTGGTCTGGTGGGGGGTCGGGCACACACACAGAGAACGTCCACACAGTTTCCCAAAGGTGACCATGTCCTTTATGGTCCCCGTCTGGACACCCGAGAGGGAGAAAGGACACACTATCAATAATATGCAGGGAAAAGAGGCATCAAGGAGCAGTGGCCTGGCAAGCGGGACCGGCAAGCCCCCTACCCAAGGGGCCTGCGGAGCCACGTCTTGAAAGACAACGAAGAATTTGTCACTGGGAACAGGAGGGGGCCTTCTGGGTAGAGGAGGAAGCCGTGAAAAGGCAGGGCTGAGCAGGGAGCCTCGTGTGTCTGGAGAGCGGTGGGAAGCTCGATGCAGCGGGAGCTTAGAAGGACATGTGTCGGGGGCGGGGCTGGGGCTGAAGAGGGGGCTGGAGGCCGTATGGGGGGCTGTGGGTCAGCTAAGTCAGGACAGAATCTGCCCCCGTGGTGTCTGTCTGTGTCTTGTCCTCTCTCTCAACCACAGTTATGGCGAATCCCTCCGAAGGTACACGCCTGACTGCAATAATTGACATGATTCCAATCCCTTCACTCAGTGTGATGGAAGGAAGAGAACATGGAGCAAGAGAAACTTCCGGAAAGGCCCAGACCGTTTCCTGCCTGGTTTCCCCTCCCCACTCTGAGAAGTAGCCGTCACAGGGTGGGAGACTGAGGTTCAGTAACTGCAGGAGGACAGGCCAGTCTTCCCTTCCAGAATCTTCCATCTAGCTCTCCCAGCCCCTGCTCCCCCTGCATGTGGGAATGCCCAGAACTGGACATGGGCGGACAGGGGTGGCGCACGGGGTGTCAGGAGCGGCCCTGCCAGCCAACATGCCCAGCCCCCGCCCACCCCGAGGTCAGCCCTCCCGGTCCTGCAAGGAGTTCGTCTCAACACCCCCGCAGGGCCGGGGCGGAGGCTGTTTCCAACTGGGGCCGATTTTGTTCTGCAGCTGCTGCCTCGCTGGCCTCCTGCAGTCCAGCCTGACCTCTGGGTCAGGAGCACAATGTCGGAAGCAGAGCCCGTGTCAGACCAGCATCCTTCTCTCGGGACTTCAATGGGAGAGGGCTCTGACAAGCCCGGGGCACACTGCTCCTCCACCTGTTCCCCCGCTGCCTCCCCGAGCTGTCCCCTCTGCCGGGCTCCTTAGCTGCTGCCTCCAGAGAGCTGGGGGGCTGGGTAAGGACCCCTGCTTCCTGAGGGCCCACAGGCCTCGAGGGCCACTGGTGGATGGCTGGGCTTGGTCAGGGATGGTGGGAGACAGAGGGAGGGTCTCAGAGGTGATGTTTTGAATGGGACACGCTTTGACAGTGCTCTCTGTGCCAGGTCAGGCATGAAGAACTTAGTCAGCCCCCTCAGTCTCCTCGTCTGTGGACTGGGGATACCCCCAGGCCTTATCCCCTGGGGATCTCAGGAGAATCGCACAAGACAAGACTTGAAAGGTGCTGATGGTTCTTGGCCTGTGATGGCTCAGGGGAGGTTCATTGCTATTGGATCTAGAAATCACCCATCTTCTGCGTGAGTCCTTGCTCTTTCGTGAGTGGCTGAGTCGGTGGAGAAGCACAAGTGTTTGTAAGCGAGAAAAAAGAGCAGCCGGTGTCAGGAGGGCTGGAGGTGGGGGACACGGAGGCCAGAGTGAGCCAGCCACGGCCACCCCTCACTCCTGGCTCCCACACCCCAGATTTAAGATGCATGTAGAGATACAGAGCAGGCGTTTTCCGTGTGGGTGGAGCTCTCTGACATTCCTCACCCCCCCACCCTTGCACCCTTTTTTGGGCTACTTTATGCATCTAAACAAAATCACCAAGTCACACCTGCTTGTTAGAACAAGTCAAACCGTAAGAAGTTGAAAAAGCAAAAGTAAACAATCTCTCTCTTCAGACTTGTTTTCTAGCAGTCAGCGGTCTCTTTACTCAGTTTCCCCCATGCTGACATCTTGCAAAGCTATATTCACAGCCAGGACACTGACATTGCTACAGTCAAGACACAGAACATTCCACCCTGCCAAGGATCCCTCATGCTGCCCTTTTATGGCCACACCCACCTCTCCCTGATCCCCAGCCCCTCTTTGACCCACAGCAACCACTAAGATGTTCTCCATTTGTACAGTTTTGTCATTTCAAGAATGTTCTAGAAATAGCATCATATAGCATAAACTTTTGGGATTGGCTCTTTTCACTCAGCATAATTCTCTTCACATCCATCCCAGTTGACATATGTATCAACAGTTCGCTCCTTTTTATTGCAGAGTAATATTCCATGGCATGGATGTACCACAGTTTATAACACCTGGATTGTTTCCAGCTGTTATATTCATGGTTTCCAGCTATTTCTAATAATGCTGCTATAAACATTCATGTACAGGTTTTTGGGTGAACCTAAGTTTTCATTTCTCTGGGATGAATGCCCAGGGGGCATTACTGGGTCATATGAGAGCTGCATGCTTAGTTTCATAAGTGGCTGCTAAACTGGTTTCGAGGATGGCTGTCCCCCTGTTTTTAAAATAGAATTATACACTCACTCTGTAACCTGCTTTTGTCATCTAGCAATACTTACAAACATCTCTCCTGGTCAATACCTATAGATTTTACTTTAAAAAAAACCCTTTTGCTTATTTTTAATAAAAAATAATGAGTTGATACCAATCAAAAGTTGCTGAAAATCCTGGAAGGGAACAGCATAGGGACCAGGGGAATAAAGCTTGCTCCAACACTGATGATGCTCAAAGAAAAATAGCTTCGGCAGAAATGAGGAAGCCATATATTTATATATTCAATCAAAAACAAAGCTCGGGTTTGGAAACATTAGCTTGCATACAGATACGTTTGCTCCAAATGCTCCTCCAATAGATTTTGCTAACCTTTACTCTAAATTAGGGTGTCATTTTCTGTTTGATAGAAATAAAACTGTCCCAACATATTAACTCACCTTTTAACACACTCTTTTTATGGCTGCATAACCATCCACAGTTATGGTTTATCAATTCACCTATACCACAGAAATAGACACTGCCCTTTCTGGGGGTGGTATATACACATGAGGGATCCCACCGCATGGAATTATGCGCAAAGATACACATGCACTCGGCAGCCACTCTTCCACTGACTCCTCTCCCTTCCTTTCTTCTCTCCCTTCCTCCTCCTACACCAGGCTCTTCTGCACAGACTGAAGGAAAGGGCCTTGCTGTGGGTTGAACTGTGTCCCCCCAAAGGATACGTTGAAGTCCTAACCCCTGGCACCTGTGAATGTGACCCTATTTGGAAAGAGGGTCTTGAAGATGCATTCCAGTTCAGATGGGGTCATACCGGATTAGGGTGGGCCCTAAATCCAATGACTCGCATCCTTACAAGGAGAGGGAAATGTGGAGACAGACACACACGGGGGAGGAGGCCATGTGAAGACAGCGGCAGAGACTGGAGTGACGCATCTGCAAGTCAAGGATGCCAAGCATCGCCGGCAGGCACCAAAAGTAATAGGCGGCAAGGAAGGATTCTACCCAGAGTCAGAGACAGTGTGGCCCTGCTGACACCTTGATTTTGGACTTCTGGCCTCCAGAACTGTGAGAGAATAAATTTATGTCGTTCTAAGCCACCTGGTTTGTGATAATTTGTTATGGCAGCCCTAGCAAACGAACAGACACATGTGAGAGGTAATCAACGTGCCCCATTCACGTGTCGCTGGAGTCCAGCCTTGCAGGAAGGCAAACCGACGTGTTAGGCCTTCCTGCTCCTCTGTTAGCTCCAGGCGCCCATGGGCGACATCTAAGAAGCCATGTTGACTGGGAATCTGCAAAAGCATCTTCTTGTTGAGTGTGCTGCAATGAAACTCATGCAATCTCTCAGATCCAGGCTTCCAGGCAGCTTCGCCAGTCATCTGGTGCAGGTCCCCACCAGGGGCCGAATCCTCTTCCAGGTACCTCCTATTTGAGGACTGCCAGTGGTGGGGACCTCACCATCTCCTAAGGCACTCCATTTTCAAACAGCTTTAAGTTCCTGAAAGGTCACCTGCCTCTACAACACTCCACCCACAGGTGCTACTTACAATCCCGGGGAATTAAAAAAACCCTTTATGTGCCAACCCTTCAAATCACTGACGAGAGGAATCGTGTCTATGGATGGAAGCACAAGCTACTTTTCCAACTGTCCAGGATTTGCAGGTGAGCCCAAAGCTGAGGACAAGAGGTGACCTACAAGCGGCCAACAGCTGGGGCCAGGCTTTTCCCCTGGCCATCTTATTAACAGGCAGGAAGCCTGGCCCCACTCTCCCATCGACCTTACCCCCACCCCCAGTCTAAAGAAGTGGGCACTGTGGAGGAGGAGGGCAGGAGTTTTCTTTGGCACATGGACAGTGAAAGAGATTGCTTCCTGCCCCTAGAGTTAAGAATTTGGGTATTTCCCCTAAATGAATGTCCCCTCTAGGTCAAATATCTTCAGTTCCTTCAGCTATTTCTTTATTGATGGTTCCAAGATCCTTCTCCAGCCTAGCTCCCTTCTCTGGGTCAGCTCCCAGCTCTAGGTGCCCAGAAGCACAGCACCCACCACCTAACTCAATGGTCCAGGTGGGTCTGAGCAGCCCAGAGCACGGAGGCGCTGCCCCCTCCTCTCCTCTGGACCCCGTGCTTCTGTTAATGGGACCTGGTGTTCTGTTGACTCAGTCTCCCAGGATTTTTTCCCAGGAGGTGCCTCACCTCCCCCAACCTGTTTTTGTCGAGTGGAGTGTTTAGTCCTAAGGACTTCACATTTATCCCTGTCAAATTTAATTTTGTTAGCATTGGCCTAAGGCATTTAATAGGGAGAAAATTAATGGCTGATGTGAGAAATAAGAGAGAAAGCTATTTCCAATCCACTTTACATGTGTTTTCTCTCCGTGAATGGGCCATTTGCT